GTAGGTATGTGGGGGCGTGTTCGAACGAGCCGTTTTAGGTAGGCGTTGCTGACTCTTAACTTTTATAAAGAATATCTCTTTGGATTTGAGACTTTAGTCTTTGCAACTTTACAGATCTTCTTTATGCACCAAGAGCTTGTAACACTCCAAAGAGAAAGGAAAAATTGAAATCGCATCATATGACCCCTTTAAAATAAAGAATTCTCCATGTTTTGGGCAGCTTGGATCACGTAACTCTCCCGCAGCAACTCATTCGGTTTCCTCCACTATTTTTAGATGCATTTTGAAGCGTCTGATATTTATATTCAGACAATTACACGCTTTTATCCCCTTACAGTTCCTACTCTCATAAAATATGCGCAATGCATGTTGACCTTTAAACCTTAATTTAACTTTCAACAACCGATATTTCAGCACAATAAATGTTTTTGCGCTGATTATTAATTGTCTCTCTTTTCCGTCTGTCTGACGCGCGTGCACTCGCCCGCCGCTCATTCAGTAAAGATTAAAACTTAATACAGACTGTCAGGACGGACCTTTATGCAAAAATTTAAATGCTCGCGTGAATTTGTGACATTTATACATAAGGATATGACCATAAACTGAAAGTTTTTGCACTGAGGACGCACACGCATCATCTGCCAAAGCGCCAGGGCAAGCCATTACGCTAATGCATTAGCTTAAAGCTTAAAATAAAGAATTCTCACATTTTGGGTAGCTTGGATCACGTAACTCTCCTGCAGCATCTCATTCTGTTTCCTCCACTACTTTAGATGCATTTTGTCCATAGAAATAAGTAAATTCAGTGCTTTAATTTGACGCGACCGGCTGAAGTTGGACAAGTATGTAAACTCCGTTTGACGTGCACTGTGGGCAGACCCGATTAATCGATAATGATAATCGTTGTCGATGATTTTCATAATCCATAATAATCGATTTTATCGATTAGTTGTTGCAGCCCTAAAGGTATTCCAATATTACTAAAACGTTTTGAACAACACAAACTGATGATTTGATCCAGATCAAAGCCAAGATTGGATTTTGTGACTTAATCCGATTTCAGAATCCCCCCCCCCTTTTTTGAACAACCCATTTTCAAGATTTGATTCAATTCGATAGCCGAAATCCAATTATTAATAAAAAGAAAACAAGTAGCTGAATAGAATGTACGACGAGTAGACGGAAGAGAATTATTAAGAAACGATCTTGTATCTGATATAAACTAGGATAGTATAATGTAAATGTCTCAAATGAAGAGGACGGATTAAAGCGATATTTTATTAAATCAAGCAAATTCACAGAAATATTG